GGGCCCATCTTTATATGAATTTGATTTTCCGATTAGCTTTGTACACTGGAAATTTGAAATGCAATCACTCGTAAAATCAGAAACAGTCTGGGCATGAGACTAATGTATTTATGTATCAGGAGGAGATCTTCAATGAAACACATTATATGAAGTTTGTAAGTGATCCCACATGAAATATGATTTTTGTAATAATTAATTTCCCAGAGATTTACATAATTATTTCCTCTACAGGATAACGTGTTGAGACAATAAGACAGATTTTGCATTTTCGTATTCAATCAACAATTCCAATTATGATTGTTTATTGAATTTACAGAAAAAAATAAGCTCTGTCTTTATAATACAATTAAAACCTTTAATATCCTGTGGGAGGTAATAATATTGCAAAAAAAGGCAAACGAGCACCCCCCCCCCCCTCTTTTCCTCTATATTCGGCGAACTGCTAACTTGGGAAGTAAGGTCCTCTTTTTGAAGTTAATATACCTCATAGCGCACAACCCCACCCCATTCCGGCTGATTTTGACGAGAACATTAGGTTAAATCTTCCATAAGCATGGCTAGGAACCTAAGGAAAGAGCAATTTCATGTTATTTGCATGGAATTTTCTCATCTCCATGTACATCTTAGAATTGTCTCTCAATCATGAATCATAATAATGCACTGTTAAAAATACGAACGCAAAGACTTGTGCGGGTCCAGGATTCTTAGTGGGGGGGGGGGGCAAACAATTAAGCGAGCCAAATTTTGATACGTTATGGTAACCAGCAGTGGCGTAACGAGCAAAAAGATTTGGGGGCAGAAAAAAATTCGGATCACCCCACTCTTACATGCAGGCCCCGCTGAACGTTTTTGAAAGTGGATGGGGGGAGGCTAAAGTATACGATCAGGTAGAGCGTAGTATAAATTGACGTGAGGTCTAGGGGCAAAGCCCCGGCGGGGGTCAAGGGGCGGAGCCTCCGGAAGCTCAGGGGGTATGGGCATTTAATTACGGTCAGATAAGCATATTTTAATACCTTATTTATGACACTGGCAGGTCACTAATTGGCATGGGGTCTAGGGGTCTGAGCCCCCTGAAACTCAGGGATTTGAGGCAATTAATAACGGTCAGATAAGCATTCAGGGGCCCGTCTTAGGTCCCCTGGTGGGGTCGAGGGGGCGGAGCCCCCGGAATCTCAGGGGTTTTAGGCATTTAATTACGGTCAGATTAACATATTTTGATACCATATTTGTGACACTGGCAAGACACTAATTGGCGTGAGGTCCAGGGGGCGGAACCCCCAGAAGCTCAGGGGTTTAGGCATTAAATTACTGTCAGAAGAGTATCCAGGGGCCCGCCTTAGGGCCCTAATTCGGGTCCAGGGGGCAGAACCCCCGGAAGCTCAGGGGTTTTAGGCATTAATCACGGTCAGATGAGCATATTTTGATACCTCATTATTTTGTGACACTGACAGGTCACTATTTTTTCTTTCTTTCTCTCTTTCTTTCTATTTCTCTTTAATATACCTTTTTTCAATGGGGGGGGGGGGGCTCGAGACACCCGAGCCCCGCCGTTCCGCGGGCCCTAACATGTTGGCCTCTAAATAAGTATATTTCTTGCCTGACTCTAAATTTAGGAATTTGTCATTTTCCAACAAACGCATAACTAAAAAGTATAATTTACTAAAAAGTGAGGAAAAATCTCGGAAAATTACGTCATTTGTAAATCACCGGGATCGAATTTTATTAAGGAGGGGGGGGGGGGGATGTACAACTTATTGACGGGAAAAATCGCAACTGATCTCCCCTACCTTTCTTTTTTCTCTTTTTTTGCTTTCCCTTCCCTTCCTTCTCTCTCTTTTAGGTTTGCTGGGGGGGGGGGGGGGGGGGGGGGGACAAGAGCATTTCGGTCCCCCCCCCCCGATCCACGTTGTTGGCGGGATTAATCGCAACTGATCTCCCCTTCTTTTCACCCTTTTCTTTTCTTCTTCCTTTTTTGGGTTCCCTTTTAGCTCTCCCCTTTCCCTTTCCCTTCCTTCTCTCTTTATTTTTGGCGGGGGCGTGTGGGAGATGCAAGGGCCTTTTGGCGCCTCCCCGATCGACAACTGATATCCTGCTTCTTTCTTTTCTTCTTTCTCTTTTTTTTTCTTCCCTTTCCTTCATTCTCTCTTATTTTTTTATTAAGGGAAGCAAGACCCTTTCGCTCCCCGATCTCCTTCTCCCCCCCCCCCCACTTTTCTTTTCTTCTTCCTCTTATTTTCTTTCTCATTCTCTCCTCTTCCCCTTCTTTTCCTTCTCTCCTCTTTCCCGCCCCTTTCCCTTCTTTCCTTCTCTCTCTCTCTCTCTCTCTCTCTCTCTCTCTCTCTCATTTTTTGCGGGGGGGGGGGGGGGAGGGGCAGCTCAGCTCGGGAACTAGCGGAGCTAACTCACTTTCGAAAAACCAGCTGTGAAATCGAACGATAGCCCGGGAACTTGCAGCGCTAAAAACCTTCTTAAATCACTTTCGAAAAACCAGGTGTGAACAGGAAAGATAGCCCGGGAACTTCCATCGCTAAAAACCCTTTTAGCACCCCTAAAAACCAGGTGTGAAACGGTATAATATGACAAATAGCACACCTAAAATAAGTCTGGACAAACCCCCCCCCCCCCCCCCCCCCCCCCCCCCCCCCCCCCCCCCCCCCCCCCCCCCCCCCCCCCCCCCCCCCCCCCCCCCCCCCCTCCACTTGCAGCGCTAAAAACCTTCTTAAATCACTTTCGAAAAACCAGGTGTGACTGTGAACAGGAAAGATAGCCCGGGAACTTCCATCGCTAAAAACCCTTTTAGCACCCCTAAAAACCAGGTGTGAAAACGGTATAATATGACAAATAGCACACCTAAAATAAGTCTGGACAACCCCCCCCCCCCCCCCCCCTCCAAAAAAAAAAATAATAATAATAATAATAAAAAATTGAAATTGATTTTGATTTTGATTTTTTTTTCCTTCAAAATCACAATTTCCCTATAGCACACAGGCCTTAAAATGTTCAGTCTGAATCTATGACGGTTGAAAGGTAGTATGGAGCCTTGCAAACAGGTACATGTAGGACAAATTTTTCAAATTGGCTGTTTCTTTGGAAGTTATACTTTATTAGGAAAAAAACAATACAATTGACCAAGAGCACACTATCACCAGTATAAATAAAATGGTACAAATCTTTGGATATAAAAAGATGACAAAGCTAGGAATGTTAAATAGAAATATAGCTGAAACCTGAGGGTTAATTCACACGTTTTGGAGGCACCATAGCTTTATGTAATATCTTTATCTTATCGTTAACACGAGGCAAAAATAAGCTAATTTACACCATTTGTTTTCCTGTTTATTAAACAGAGTAGATCGTAAATCTTGTTTATGGAAAATACTGAATGGAAAATTCACCCTGTAACTTCTTCATAAACCATCAGCAAAATGTTGCATAGTCATTCAATTTGCATAAAATACATGATTAAAGGTAAAGACCAGTGAAAGAAACGTTGTGGAATCAATCAGAAAAGGTTGATCATCTAGCATATAAGTATTGGTGTGTACTGCAAGGTTCTGGAATCATCAAAATGATAAGAAATTTGGCCCAGTCTTGGTAACGTTACAAGCACTGTACACAAAAAGATGTATATGGGACTACGCGACACGTGCACGCACGTGCACGATATCCATTTGGTCCCTATAGATATAATGATTTACCAAATATATCGATTAGTAGGCGGTTTCCAGGCAAATTTTGAAACATCACGTATTAGTAAAAACATATCCTTTCACATGATTGGTAATGAGAGCTTCCATTTCATTTTTTGGGAGGGGGGGGGGGCGTTTCTAAAACTGGTCTTTACCTTTAAGAACGGATCGATTTTGAATTTGGGATGAAAATATATAGTGTACGTTTCTAAAATCTTTACATGTAGCCTTTTAATAATTATGTCCAGTGATGAGCAATAATAATAGTAGAGAATTTCATATTTTCCTAATCATACTTGTTCAATAATCAACATCTTGCATTTTTTGTGATTAAATTCACATGATCTGAACGACTTTCAAATCAAAACATCTAAGTAAAATGCAGTAATACATGAACATGAACATTTGACTGTATATTGTAAAAAGAATTACATGGCAGCTATACATGTATACATGGGACAACTACTTTTTATCGTCACCAAATTCACCAATTTTGACATGAATTTCCCTAATCTAGAACTCATAAAAATACAAAATACCAAATATGCACATCAACCAAGAAATACAAGATTACTGCCAAAGTCTTACTCCAGCCTACTCACAAATAAACACTCAAACTGCTAAGTGCTATTAAAATATGTGTTTGTTAAATTACATGATCCAAACTATTTTCTATTTAATACTTTTTAAACATGAATCTAATGAAATTTCTATCCTCAACTACTGTACATGTACTATTGTACTCTAGTAATAATACCTAATAATAATACTATGTATACATTGTGTGTAAACCAACTCCTATGCGCATGCATGCCAAGTACCAGGAAAGCAACATCCAGGCTTGAAATCATAACTACACACAGTGTAGTATCATTTTTGGTTTAATACTTATTACTTGCATTAAAGCTTATCTGCCGTAGTTTACAGGAGGGATTAGACTGCCCTGCAAGGTCACTGGACAGGTGGTTATCTCATCAACTCAGCTCTCAGTTAACATAAGAAAAAGAGGATCATGGGGGACCAATGGTCACCGATTAGGCATTGTTTGTTATATAGAGGGCACAAGTAGCTACAAGTAGTGCAGTGGGCCTTTAAAGAATGACATGGCAGGTTTGATACTTGCATCATGTTTTTACTTGCACTGAACTAGCAAAATTTACTGTTTATCGATATTAAAGTGCTTTTTCTACACACCTGTTCTGAACTTCATGACACTCCTTGCAGCTAGTCCCCTCACCTACCATCCCAGTATACATGTAGCTTCCTGAGTGAGCAGTTCAAGGGATTACTCCATCAAAGTATCAAGTAATGAATACTGATTTGCAAACTATTGCAAAATATGTGACAATTGATCTTTCAATGCAATCTTGATTACTGGTAGATGTTTTGTGAGAAATATCCCAAATATAATTCATAGTATTTAGAAAATAGAAATTAAAAAATGTTGATTTAATATCTCTGTCATCTCTGATGAACAAAAATACACGATTACTGATTTACAGTCAATAAATATTCATTCAATTCAAAGTATTTTTTGTGATTAAAGGTGCCTCAATGACTATCACACACCGTGCATGAATACACACAAAAAATATCCAACTTTGCAAAACCAAGCCTTGGTTTTGTAAACCGTGGGTGTGAAGTTTTCAATGATGTTTCAATGATTAGTTGGAAGATACAGAGATTACATTGATATAACCGCGGCAGAAATATGCCCGGCCTCATCCACTGCAAATTAAGTTAACAATCACCAAAACTTTATTCAGAAAATTAAAGTCCCTTGACTTGGTACATGATTAAATGGTGGGTTGTTAGTTGATAAGAATAATCAACCATACTGTGAGAGTGAGAGTCTGATGAGGGAAACTCTTCACTCACTCAAGCTTAGGCCAGGTGGACCTTGCCATGTCCTCCCCACAGTCCATTGCGCCCGAACATCAGCAGCAACAGAAGCACGGCGAGAAGCACTGGGAAGAAGAAGTCGCCCATCGATGCGCTCAGAGCCAACAGACCGTGGATGTAGAGGGCCGATATGGCGAGGAGGACAAAGCAGCTGATGACGGGCCAGTCGTAGCGGCCAAATGCCAGAAGAGCTCCGAAGAAGATGTCCAAGACAGCCACCACGGCGCAGTACATGGCACCGGACGGCTGGAAGCCAAGGGCACGAAGTGGGAAGACTCCAGCAAAATTGTGCATGTAAGAGACCTAAATAAAGAGAATTATATCTTGAAAATTATCGAGAAAAATGATTGACATACATGTAAACTGCAACGTTAACTGGTAGCATTTTTCCCAACTTTAATTAACAAAATTATCATTAATTTTTTTGTCTGTTCAGATAGCAACTTCTAGTTCTAGGAACAACTGCAGAATATTTCGCATGCCGAGAGTTCCTGTCCCTAGCTAGCTTGGCTGATATGTTTTACGTCTTTAATAGCTTGGGAAGAGGTCACAAAGTTAGACTTTGATTAGACTATTTATTGCTTAATTTTTGCCTCACTATTTATAACATACCGGTAGTCATAATGGCAAAACACAGAACTGTTTAGGTGTCAACGTTCAACAAGGCTAAATGCTCTTTTTTGTTGACCCCTCATTCGACATAAATTTGCTTTCTGAACTAATTTCCTTGTTAATTTTATTGTATTCATATTATCTGTAATGTTACCCTTCTACATGTATTTATGTATTTCAATTTTTTATTTTTTTAAATAGATCTACTCTGTAGTCTAGACTAGACCTCTAGACTGTATTGTACATGTTTTTTCAGAAGAATGAAATAAATACCATACCATAGGTCCATACCCACTGAATGACAATCAAGAACATTTTTATTTTTAGAGGTTATTTTGACACCCCTCACAGCCTCAGCCCTCAGCCCTCAGGCCATGTGGAATAAATAAAACTTCAAACTTCAACTTCAACATTGCCATTCCACTGCATTAACTCCGGGAAGCTCCAACACCGGTGACGCCTGCGGCGCCAGTGTTGGAGCTTCCCGGAGTTACACTGCATTGGATCATTCATGGATGCTCACATTCATTTAGGCCCTAGAATCTAGACCTAGATCTACTTTAAATTAAAGTGACTTAGACTGGGCCTACTTAGCAGTAATGAGACAGCCAGGTAATTTTCTCAGTCTCAATTCTCACCATGACCATGACACAGTGCATGGCTCATGCATCCTGATTTGTTGTGTGTAATACAATAATATAATAACTGTGCAGTAAACAGAGCTGAGCTGAGCTAACCACCGACCCCGACCGAGACGGGAGCGCCGCTCCGGCTGGCGGCAGGGGCAGCGGCAGACAGGCAAGCTCTTTTGATTTTACCTCTGGTCTTTGTTAACGTGTTTTCTTACCAAGTTCCCGTGTGCAGGCTCGATGGGAGCAACTTTCAACGTTCCCAAAAGAACACAGGCGAGCCCCACTCCAACAGCCAAATAGTATGTTACACTGCCCATCTTTAGATTTTAACAGCAACTCTCAATGCCGACTCAAAATTGACTACAAAGGCAAGGATATAGATTGTAATCCTCAAAATCCCCAGGTATAGCCGATGCTAAATTACCGCTGTGTGATATAGATTTGAACAATTATTTTTCATGTGGTAATGCGCCATCTCACGTCGGAATTCAGCTAGCAGGCACGCGCCCCGACCACGCCCATGATTATGGTGGATCCAAGATAGATGGAAAAGACATATTATTTAAAATGTGCTCATTTTCTTTTCCCTATCTACCCAGCCGCCCAAGACACGCTCAGGGAGCGAGGAGGCCTATAGATTTCCCGACCAAATTATTTTTCAACAACAATTAAAACAACAACAAAGTTGAACAACAGCAGCAACAACACCACCACAACATCAACAAAAAACTTGATCTGGCAATGCGTAGAATGGTATTGTATTAGAGCTATTTATTAACGGTAGCTCACTCGATCTGTACACAAACATTGAGTAATCTTTTTTTTTTTGCTAACTAAAAAATACATCATGAGTTATGTTCGTTTAGTGTTATAATCAGGGCCTTGGCTAGAGTTTGATGTTTTTTATTTATTTTTTTAATTTTTATTTATTTATTTATATTTATTTTTTTTTTTATTTTTTTTTTTTATTTTTTTTTATTTTTTTTTTTTTTTGGGGGGGGGGGGGGGCACATACATGTAATTGATCGACGTCCTGGGGAGGGGTCTAAAAAAGTTCAACCGATCTTGGCTACGGGCCTGGTTATAATGACATATTTTATATACAAATTTAGTAAATTGACCGCAATCTCTTTGGCACAAAGTACACACAGCTTTTGTTCAAATTTATATTTCCATAATGAAATATTTTAGACTGGCATATCACTTGAATCAAAGAACTGAATTTATTTTGATATTTATCAACCGATATTTGACTATAACGATGACATACAGTAGCATGAGAAATGAGAACTATATTTTGAAAACTGTATTTCTTATAATTTTGTTTTAAAGGGATCGTTTAACAATGTTAAATCTGAGACACACGGCCCTACGTGTTATTAGTGTCTGTGATATGGTGTAATATTGAAGCCCTTAAAAAAATCACGCTTCAAAATGATCAAGAAGTGTCTCAAAAAAGTAAAAATCTTTGAGTGACCGGTTTTACCATACTCGTTTTCCCCAATGTAGTGTTATGAAATCCGTTTGGCAAACGGTTTTCAAAATTTGTAATTCCAATCTTAAATATATTGATAATCAGATAGGCGATCGGCTTGTAAAAGTCATGGAGTTCCTGCCTGACCTAAAGGTTTATAATTATCATTGCAGCATGAGCTAAATCCAGGATTTTGTTTCATAATCCGAGACAAAGTTACCGGATCCCTTTAAACAATTTGAGGGTTAAATATTGTCAAATTCACGTTGTTAAATGGGGATTGTCGCTTTTTAAAAATATTAATTGTTCATTATCTATACACCGTTTGTTATTGATCGATTCTTTAACGTTTTAAATTTTAAATTTTTCCGTGGTACGTCGGATATTTTTTTTTTTTTAGTTGTTGTTGTTATTTTTTTCTTTCTCCAAACATACCTACAAACTATAAGGCCGATATCACTCAATAATGTTGATGGCGCCTTTGATTAGGCATACACTGAGGATTTATGAGAAAATAGTATATTATATTGTTTTTTTCCTCTCACGTAGTAGTTAAGAAAGATGAAGCTTGCCACGTCTGCCCAATGCATCATCGAAGAAAAAAACACACTCTTACTTAGCATATAAGTCTTTATTATCATCATTATTAATATGTAGCCAGATTTTATAGTCAGAAATTCGTGTATAAAAGTCTACAGGAAAAAAAATCACAGGCAACGTTTCACGTAACCCATCAGCTTCAAGTATGGTTTAACTGTATTTTCGTTGATTCTATTATTAGTCTCCTTCTTAGCCCTTAATGATTTGTCAAAATATTGAGATCGGAATTAAACTCGTGTACAAAGTCTTTTATTTTAGATTGATTATGATTTCACATTGTAGGGTGAGCTAGGCATTCAGTGATACCGTTTGGTAATTATTCCTTCGTAATATTCAGATCGCTGCAGATCATCTTGTTCTTCAGCAGTGGTACTTGATACTTGATGAGGTAATCCCTGAGGCAGCTTTTCCAAGCTATACTGGGATGGGATGTGTTCAGTGGCGTACCTGGGGTACTCCGTCAGGGGGGGCAAGCGACCGAAACAAACAAAAAAGGCGATGCTAATTTTCACTTCTGGCGAGCGAGCGAGCAAAAAAAAAATCTGTAAGTAACGTTTGGTATATAAACTGGTATTGTTGCAAGTTGGGGGTGGGAACATTCACTTGTTCAGGGGCGGATCCAGGATTTGCCGATAGGGGGGGCCTAAAATGTGAAAATCGCGCCGACCAATATCTCGCTCAGTGGGGGGGGGGGGGGGGGGGGGGGGGGGGGGGGGTAGTGATCATAATTTTTTTTTCTCGTATTTGACCTCGAAAATGTGAAAATCGTGCCTATCGATATCTCGCTCAATGGGGGGGGGGGGGGGGGTAGTATGCATAATTTTTTTTTTTGTATTTGACCCTGAAAACTTTTTTTTTTGTTGTATTAAAAAATAAAAAATAAATAAATAAAGCCAGGGGGACCCGGGCCCGTCGGGCCCCCCCCACCCCGTGGATCCGCGCCTGCACTTGTTAGCGACGTTAATTTCATTTTTTTGCAAACGAGTGTAGCGAGCAAGAAAAAAATCACTTCTTTTTTAATAATTGCCACTTAAAGATAAACTTGAGTTATGGTAATGCGATTGCATTTTGAAAGAAAAGGTGTGGAATGGATCAGAAAAGTTGATTATATAGCATGTAAGTAATGGTGTGTAATGCAAGGTTCTGGAGTCATCAAAATCATCATAAATTTGGCAGAGTCTTGGTAAAGTAACAAACACTTACACGGAAAGATTTTTTTTTTTTTCTCTTTAACCTCAATCAGAGGAACTTTATTATTCAAATTGACATTCCTTTTTGTTTCTTTTCCTTCAAATAAACAAATTCAACTCATATACAATCATAAACAAATAAAATATTGCAACGTCCCATTAGTTTGTTCATGAGTACATCTGTTTTCGTTGTCTACAGCATCTCAATTAATTTCTGTACCATATTGTTATTTTCTCTTTTAATACTTTTACAGTTCAAATAAAATGTCAACTCATATTTAAGACTACGATATAGAGTTCTCGCATGTGTTCTATTAAATGATTGTAAATTCTTTATGTGGTTTCTATATATTACATACTCAGCAAAATTTATTATTAAATTTACTAAATGACAAATTGAGTTTTCAACTTCATAACCAAGTATTAAAATCTGTTCAGTCATCTGAATATTTAGACCACATAAATTGAAGATTACACCTGAAACAATTCTCCAAAACAATCTTACGTTTTCACACTCCAACATCATATGCTTAGTGGTTTCTAGCGTATTACATATCTCACATGTATTATAATCTAAGATCTTCCATTTGCATAAATTGTATCGTGATGGTAAAATCATATGCAAAAGTTTAAAGTTAAATTCTCTGATTTTATTATTCCGTACAACATGAAATTTAAACTGTAGAACAGATGACCAATTAAAATCCGCATGTAAGTGTAGTCGTTGTTGCCATGCGTTTAAAATATATGGTTTTTTCTTATTTTTTTGCACAATCAGTGAATATATTATTTTCGTATTAAGTTTTGACAAATCTATCATATCCCCTGTCGAAATCTCAATGGTCTGTAAATCAATTACTTCATCACGTTCTACATCTTGTGATTTACGCAACCATACCAAGGGGAAAGCCTTTTTCAACATAGCAAACTTAAAAGCAAATAACATTTTGGGTAACCCATATCTTTGGGCAGTTTCGTCAGAGTTTTTCCATCGACCGTCATTAAGAACATGGTGTACTCTTTTTATTCCTCCTCTCTCCCACACCTTAAAATGAAGCATTCGGTTCCTTATTTTAATATTACTATTATTCCATAGTATCGTTCTCATTATGTTATTCGTCCCCTCAATATTTACATATTTTAGTTCAGACCATGTACAAAGCAAATCAAAGTAAAAATATGGCAAATTTGCTGTTTTACATAATTTTTCCATGTCTTTCTTGTGACAGTTAAATTCTAAACTTAAGGGTATTCCCCCAACCTTGTCAATCCAATAGGAAAACAATGTTTTCCATGAGGTATTTTGACAGTTCAAATATTTCATTATCCATGAAAGACGCAATGCGCTAACTCTAGCTTCCAGATCAATCATTCCCAACCCCCCACTTGTAACATCATTAATACAAATATTTCTTCTTATTTTTTCTGTTTTTGAGCGCCACAAAAAGGAGTATAATAACTTATTAATTCTTTTGATGGCATCTTTGGGTGCTGGAACAGCAGTAGCCACATATACTATTTGTGATGCAGCTAGCATCTTTATAACTGTGATTTTCCCGTAGTACGTCAGATGACGCATTTTCCACAAATCTAAAATTCTTTTAATCTTGTCAATTTTTCCTTCCCAATTTAGTGTTTCTACTTCTTTTATATTCATCCCTACATAAATCCCAAGAAATTTAAATGGATCGTTTGAAAAAGCCAATCCTTCAATTTCATTTGCATCACATCTTTGTGAAAGCTGCATTATTTTCGATTTATCCCAATTCACCAAAATACCAGCATATCTGCCAATTTTTTTTATTTCGTCCATTGCATGTCTCACTGACGCAAGTGAACTGAGTGTCATTACCGTGTCGTCTGCATATTGTGCAATTTTAATTTTGTTTCAAGTCCTTCATGATTTTTATCTAGAACTTGTATACCTTTAATATCTTTATTTTGATTCACCTTTAACGCTAAGATTTCTGCAGTAATAATAAATAACAATGCTGATAGTGGGCATCCTTGCCTTACACCTTTCTCAATTGTGAAATTTTCTGAGAGCCATCCATAATTCATAACACTACCACATGCATTGTGATATAGTGTGCGAATCCATTTTATATATGTATCTTTGAACCCAAACATTTCCAACGTTTTAAAAAGAAAAGAATGATTAACATTGTCAAAAGCTTGTTTGAAATCGA